GGGGGGGGGGGGGGGGGGAGAGAGGTGTCAATATGATACCAAAACGTCTGCAGTATTTTTGTATTTTATTCTCACAAAAGTGGATTAAAGAGCTGCCAACAGCATAAGAAAGTCACCACGATGGGTCTCATTGTTGAAATGTATTATTTCTTGATTCCGATGGCTTTATATCCAGATAATGAATTATATCACTTTGATATTTGAAATAAAAATGCTCATGCCAGGGATATACGCTGGAATTATTCCTTGGAAAAGACATTTAAAGAAACATGTTTACAATTGAAAGGTGAACACACAGAAGTGAGGAAACATGTGAAAGGTTCAGCGGTTACATTAGGGCTGCAACAAACGACTAATTTGATAATCGATTAATCTATCGATTAATGAAACGATTAATCGACTATTCGGACTATTACTGTATGCCTTGCACAATTTCTCAAACGCTCTTATTTAGCCAGCAACTTTTAGATTTAGCTTGAGGTTGTTTTAGGCATGTGGAAACTAACAATGAAGACAATAAAGATGAACACTTGATTCAAATATATATATATATTATTAAATTAACTTAACACATTTTGAACAAAATTAACATTGCTTTTTATCTAAATTAAATCAATAATATTTCCCATCAAAAGAAACAACAGTGTTTTAACAAATCATATTAAATAATGTGATGACAGAACTGTAAACAGAATAGCTGAAACTTTAACAAACTAAATAACTCAGTTACCTCTAATTATTAACCTATGTTTTTATAACTGAGTTAACTCCATGTGTTGCTGCTAGCATACATAACACCTGAGGTGGAAACGTTACTCGTGGATGGGGCTACAGAGCTACTAGAAAGACAGTCGAACCCGGTGCATTCCTCCGTCTGGATGTGGTGCCCTTTTGCTAAATGTTTAGACAAATTGCTCGTGTTACCGCCCTTACATGTTAAACACTTATTGCACTTTAGGCAACGAGCATTGTCCACATCGAGACGGGTAAAGTTGAGCCACACCTCGGAGCGCGTTCTCTCCGCCATCTCCGCAGTGTGTTGCTGCATGTAGCAGCTGCGTGTGTGTGTGTAAACTNGCCCATAATAATCAAGTGACACACGGAGAAAGCGCAGGAATTGAAAGACTATCAAATGACTGGAGAAAGAATTTTAAGGAGTAGTGTGAAATTTTAGGCTTATTGCACTGATATATCAAGTAGGAAGATTAATACTTTACCTGTGACTGTCAGGTCTTGTGTCTATTTATATAAATTACAGCCAGCAGCTAGATAGCTTAGCTTAGCATTTGGACTCGAAAACAGCAGCTACTGTTGGGGCGCGTAACAAAGTCTGGTTAGCACTTACTAGCATTTAAAGCTCATACAAATAAACATGTTTTGATCTTTACAGAAACCACAATTTGGGGAGGTAATTTTTCGATGCTAGCACTGTTTTCGTAGCTAAATACCTACACATTATAATGGAATATTTGAAGCATTAAACAGCTGGATTTTATTAATGGACAGGAACACATTAAAACTAGACCCAAAAGGGAGGATTCAATGCATGTCAGATACATACACCTTGTAAGAAGTTCAATGGGGTGTTTAAAATACGTTCTTACATGAATGTTTCTAGGGGCTCAACATAAAATATAAGCCATGCTGTTTTCATGTGTTTCATGTCTTATGCTAAACTAATCTTGGCTGTAGGCTTTCTATTTAGAAACAGACATGAAAGTGAGTATCAATATTGAGCAACAACGCAAATAGCACCTCTCCTAATAGTCAAACAATCATTTCCAGAGTGCAGAAGCAAGACAGAAATAGGTATTTGACAGGTGCAAAATAGGGATTTATGGGACAAAAATGATCACAAGTTTAAATAAAGCATTGGAGGGATAAAACTGGAGATGAGAGGAGCGAAAGTAAGTCATAGGAAAATTAAAAGACCCTTTCATGCCCATGATAGTTTGAGCAAAAATACCCTGGACCAATATGCAGTTCCCTGTCTCAGTTTGAAGATATCATTGTGCTGTTGTTGAATTTGGCCTTACGTGGTGAGTAAGATCTCGTTATCTCACCTTTTGCAGACAAGCTCTATTGGATTACATAATCTGTGGAACCAGTCTGAGCAGCCCAGAATACACAACGTACCAATGCATTTCAGTTGTGTGTGTGTGTGTGTTTGCTTGTTCCCGTTGTGGAGTTTGCATTTGTGCAGTATATACCTGTATCTGTGAGCTAACAGGGACCAATAAAGACCATACGCTTTGCTTGGATTGCTAATTAGACACCAGTCTACCCTTCAAATACACAGAGAGCAAAAAAGGAAACAAAGTACATTCAAAGAGCATGAAGAGGAGGGGTCAAGCAAAGAAGAAGAAAACAGACCAATTGTGATGCACAAAAGGACATAACATCGTTTCTCAAATGACCTTTTATGCTGGTTGAAGGATACAGAGTTGGCAGTGTCATAGAAATGGCAACAGCTGTTCAACAGGAGCGTCCTTCTCTGTGCGGAGTGGATGTTCAAGTGGCTTACTCTTACAGTCATCAATCAATAGCCACTATCAGAGAGAGGTATAGGACTATAGGATTTGCACCACTGCTTTTTGCAGATGATGTGGTTCTGATGGCTTCATCGGTCTGCGACCTTCAGCACTCACTGGATCGGTTCGCAACCGAGTGTGAAGCGGCTGGGATGAGGATCAGCACCTCCAAATCTGAGGCCATGGTTCTCAGCAGGAAACCGATGGACTGTCCACTCCAAGTAGGGAATGAGTCCTTACCCAAAGTGAAGGAGTTCAAGTATCTCGGGGTCTTGTTCTCGAGTGAGGGAACAATGGAGCGTGAGATGGGTCGGAGAATCGGAGCAGCGGGAGCGGTACTGCAGTCGCTTTACCGCACCGTTGTGATGAAAAGGGAGCTGAGCCAGAAGGCAAAGCTCTCTGTCTACCGCGCCATTTTCGTTCCTACCCTCACCTATGGTCATGAAGGATGGGTCATGACCGAAAGAACGAGATCGCGGGTACAAGCGGCCGAGATGGGTTTTCTCCGCAGGGTGGCTGGTGTCTCCCTTAGGGATAAGGTGAGAAGTTCGGTCATCCGGGAGGGACTCGGAGTTGAACCGCTCCTCCTTCGCGTCGAAAGGAGCCAGTTGAGGTGGTTCGGGCACCTAGTTAGGATGCCACCTGGGCGCCTCCCTAGGGAGGTGTTCCAGGCACGTCCAGCTGGGAAGAGACCAAGGGGTAGACCTAGAACCAGATGGAGGGATTATATCTCTTCGCTGGCCTGGGAGCGCCTTGGGATCCCCCAGTCAGAGCTGGTTGATGTGGCCAGGGAAAAGAAAGATTGGGGCTCTCTGCTGGAACTGCTACCTCCGCGACCCGACCACGGATAAGCGGGAGAAGATGGATGGATGGATGGAGTTTAATAGTTAGACGAACATTTGCTCAAAACTGGTTATGGGTGCTTAGCATTTATTTGAACATTATAATTGATAAATACATATCATTAATAAACAAATAAGACCTCCGGGGGAAATCAGAATCATTCAACAATTCAACCATGTTCTTCTTTCCTTTTAAAACATAATATATATTTCAAACTCCTTGCAATCGGAATGAACTGAGATTAACTGTGTTGATTTTGAAAATTAACACTTACACTGCCACATCACATCATGCGTATCTTGAGATAATCTTAATTGGCAGTTAAAAACTGCAAACTGTTAATTTCACATTAGCATACAGATCATTACAAAAATAATAAACAGTGTGCACCTCCCTTAAAATGCATGCCAACTGAATCACCCACACAATTGTTGAATATTTAAGTGAATTAAGAAATATTATTATTCATCATCACTACTCATACAGAGCACTTTTTCAATTGTACAACAACTAAAATAAGTAACAAACCAATCTGTAACTGACTGCAGAAACTAGGTTCTATCTGCAATAAAAAGTCATTATCAATCCAATCTAATCAGTGATGAGATGTGAAGATTAGAGATTTCGACTATACTGTAAATCTTAATGTGGAAAAACACATAATGTTGCAAATCTCAGAACAATTAAATGTAGACCATATGTTATATATAAAAATTCAAAATAGAAACATTATTTGATTTTATGTTCTGATTTATGTTTTCAAGAAAAAACCTTTTAGTTTCATTTTTTTGTTATACACACATTAAATGATTTGCTTTATATTTGGTCATAGTTTCAAAAACGTCTGTGCTTTGACCTGCTTAAATATGACCTACACTATTACTTAATAATACTGGTTGTTGTAATGAAGGGCTTTATAACCATTATGAAGACGTTGGGATGGTGTCTGCTGTCATGGAAACTGCGGGGACTCCTTTGTTTAGCCTGTAGCACCAGCAGAACAGTGAAGGACTTAGCAATAATTCATTCATTGTCAGCAATTGGTATCAGTCTTGAGATTCTGCGAAATATGAGATCTCTCACTTCTACCCCATGTATATTCAATAATATCTACACATATGTTAATGAAATCCAAACAATTCGAGTGGATGAAGACACACAGGCAAAACTGATGACTAATTATACATTTGGGAACTGGAGGGTGAGACTTCAATTGAATTTGCAGCCACACTTACCCAGTCTCTAACAAACTTTCACAAGACAGAGGGGGGAACAAGCAGCAGGAAATAAGAAAAAGAAAAAAGTGAAATGGCCTATGTGAATACTGAAAAAGAAGTAGAGACAAAAAGGAATAAAAACTGTATTCATGCAACAGACAGAAAAAATAAAAACCATTCCAAAGAGAAACCTAAATTATTTATTGTCATTTCAAATGATATGAGATTAAACTGTCCACACATAGTCAGTGAAAGGTTTCAACTTTGAAGTCAGACAAAATGAATTGGCTCCGCTCCCTGTTTTAAAGAGATTGAGGGTCAGTACATGAGGAGGGTCTCGTACCTCCTGCCCCAGGTCCATGGCACACAGCTTGGCGGACTGGGCCTTGGCGTCCACCATCACGTTGAACATGGTGCAGATGGACTGTGGCACGCGGAACTCTGTGGCCCGGCTGCTCCTCTGGAGCTTGGCCTCGAACGCAGCCCGCGTCCTTTAGAGAGGGAGGGGAGGACTTCAGAATACTGAGGCCATGAGTCGGCCCCCAAACCCCCCATCTGCCTTAATTAATAACATTTTTTTTACACATTCTCTCAATATTTATATATTCACTCAAAATGATTGATTTAGCCACCTTGTCTTACATTTTGCATTGCAGAAAAAACAAGCAAAAAAAAATGTACTCAAGCACCTAAGTTGTATTGAAAACCAGAGTAATCCTCGTCCTATTCATTGTCTCAATGCGCTCATACATCTTAAGAAAGGTATCACCAAAAATGTTAAGAATGTTTTTAGAGAACGCTATCCTACCTTTCAGAAGAACATTCTGGGAACCAAAATAAAACTCACATTAAAGGAACGTTTTATAAAAAACTCCCTAGCTCTCTCTATCTCTCTCTCTCTCTCTCTCTCTCTCTGTCTCGCTCGCTCACAGAGGCTGTATGCTACTCTATAGATATAGAGTTGTAGGAAGTAGATAGAGTTCGCTATGATTGAAGTTTCGTTTATGCATAGGGTAGATTCTTTTAATTACATTTCCTTTTTTGTTTTGTGTATTTTATACATTTAGGATTTGCTTGGCGAGCTATTTTTAGAACATGCCCCTGCGGGCGACTAAGTGCCCGCGGGCACCGTGTTGGCTACCCCTGCATTAAAGGAACGTTTTATAAAAAAACGTTGTGTCATCTCAGCCCTCAATAACATCCTCAAAGCATCCTCTGAATATTGCAGTTAAAACGTTATCTCTTAGTTAAAGAGCAACTTCCAGGTTAAAGACACCTGTGAATAAATGTGTAGGAAAATGATGAATACACTAGATTTCAAAAAAATATACAGAAATATACACTACAGTGACATCTGGCGTCGTTTTTGTAAGAAATGTTCACTTCCACATAAAAAAGCCTCGGCACATGACCTCCCGCGTGTGACGTAACACGGGGGACACAAGGGGGAGAGCGGCCGGTGTAACGTATTAATAAACATGGATCCCAATGCTAGTTTTGACACAGAAGACACAGAAGAAGTTGAACATGAATATTCGAATGCATATGACGGACCACAACCTTATAATTATGAGCCTGCTAGGNTATCATGCTATATTTGAATAATATAGTGTTGGACCATACCTATATAAGGCATATACTTTTCATATTTCAAAATACCAAACAGATCATGCATTTTAGCCATTCCTCATTTCGCTCAATTTAAAGAGCAACTTCGAGGTTAAAGACGCCTGTGAATAAATGTACAGGAAAATTATGAATACACTAGATTTTCAAAAAAATATACAGAAATATACACTACAGTGACATCTGGCGTCGTTTTTGTAAGAAATGTTCACTTCCGCATAAAAAAGCCTCGGCACGTGACCTCCCGCGTGTGACGTAACACGGGGGACACAAGGGGGAGAGCGGCAGGTGTAACGTATTAATAAACATGGATCCCAATGCTAGTTTCGACACAGAAGACACAGAAGAAGTTGAACATGAATATTCGAATGCATATGACGGACCACAACCTTATAATTATGAGCCTGCTAGGCGTCCAAGAGACCAGGAGCAGCCAAGGATTAGAAGAAATAACGGCCATCGGAGAGAAATTGAGCTGTGGTGTGAGGAGAACCAGTGGAGAACTGGGCAGCAATCTTGGTGAGTGACCGGCGTGAGCTACAGAATGTTAGCTAACGTCACATCACAACATTGTAAAGTTAGCTATCATATATCAGGCTATAACTAAAGTAGCATTGATAATATAGTAACGTTACTGGCAGGACTGTTGATACTGATCCATAACAGAAACTAATGCGCAAGTAGCTCAGCCGTATCTCGCGTTACCTAATGCAACTCCACACTACGGTGCTGTGTACCGGAGGAGAGACGCGAGATACGGCTGATACTTGATGATCTGGCGGAGAAAGGTTGTGGAGCCTCCGTTGATATGTCGTTGTAAATGGCTTGATGGAAAGCAGGTGTGTAGTCGGGGAGGGTGCACAGCTGATTGCAGCAGGTGAGTGGAGGTTGAGCCGCGGAGCCAGGAGTGACAGCCACCACGCACACAAAAACAACACAGACAGGGGGAAACAAACAAACACAAAGGAGACGGCTGGAGCAGTACAGCCACCACAGCGTTACCTAATGCAACTCCACACTATGTCTTACGGTGCCGTGTACCGGAGGGGAGAGAGAGAGAGCAGCGAAGGGGGGGGAGAGAGAAGTAATACGGTTTCCTGATAAAGCTGTGGAGAGTATGTGCTGCAGGGAGGTGGATGCACAACGCACCCAGGAACGAACGCTAGCTCCGGTCCTTTTTACTGTGGACTCGATGTCCTGACAGGCTGGNTATTCCTTCGCAATTTAGCATCACATTGGATCTGGGCTGAACTTGTCCTGCATTGGAATTTTTCCGATCATTCCCCTAGGAGGAGTTTGCAAGAATGTGCTTAAAATGGCAGAAAAACACACATTTTTCAAAATGGCCGACTTTCTGGGGGACGGGGCTAATGGAAGGCAATTTGAAATATGTGTGCAATCATAATAGAAATATGTATACAGCGTTTCGTGAATATCGGAATAACTATATGCGAGTTGTTTGGAGCAAAGTTATACAACTTTCTCAGCATCCTAAAGCCCTCAAAAACAGGAAATATGGTTCCTTATAATAATAATAATAATAATAATACCACGGAGAACAATAGGTTCCTCGCACTTCGCGCTAGGACGCCGTTGGGT